TCATTACATAGCAATACTTTGCATTATTCACTATGTTAAGGAAACTTTTTTTCATGGACTCCATTTTTCTACTAGCTCGTCCCTTGTTCTTCATGGTTACTTTGATGTCGATTAGGCTGGTGATCCTGCTGATCAGAGATTTATCACTGATTATTGTTTTTTCCTCAGAAATTCTCTTATCTCTTGGCAGAGCAAGAAACAAATTACTCCATCTTGCTCTAGTATTGAAGTTGAGTATCGAGCTCTCAATGGTACCACATCAAAACTTCTTTCATTATAGTGGTTCTTGAATATAGGTATTCCTCAACCTTGTTCTTCTGATTTATATTATAATAATCAAAGTGCTATATAGATTGCTCACAATGATATCTTCCATGAACATATAAAACATATTGAGGTTGATTGTCATTTTATCTGTCATCATGTTACAAAGGGAACTATTCATTTGATTTTCATTAGTTCTGTTGATCTGCTTGCGAATTTGTTCACTAAGGCTCACTTCTCATGACACTTCCAAACTCTTCTTTCCAAACTCAAGTTGGTTTCCTTACCACCACCTTAAATTTACAAGAGATGTTAGAATATCAACATTTATTTTAGAATATTAGCATTTATATTAGAATATTATGTTCACATTGTAATTGATTATATATATTTAAATTAATTGGTTTTATATTTAAGAATATTCTATTATATAGATATGTATATAGGATCTCTTTATATACAATGAAGACAAGAAAGTAATAAATCTTTTTTTAAATATTTCTTCTTCTTTTTTTTTTTTTCTATTTCTAACTGTTACCGTGAATTTTATTTTCCATTCTGATTTGTGGTCGGGAAAAACCATAACCCTTTGAAGCAGCTCTTTATCAATGGTGGAGGAAAGTTTCTAACAATTAAGGGTCGTCCATTTTTCAGTCCGAGGTCCGAACATCCATACTTAATTTATTTGAAATAATTGTCTCTTCTCATCATCTATAATTCTTTAACTAGTTCAAAATAAATAAAAAACTGAAAACTGTTTTATAGGACAAATTGAATGTATTTCATCCTATAAAATTATTTAAATATTTTTTTAAAAAATAATATAAAAATAAATATAAAGGCATTTAAGTAATTATATAGTCCATCATGTAAAACACTTTTCTTATAAAAGTAATACATTTTTGAACATTTAACCCACTCCCTACGTTAAAAAAAAAAAATGAAAGAAATATTATGATATGCTTGTAATTGACTCTTTCTTTTTTGACTCATAAATTAAGTCACAAGGTAGTCTATATAATAAATTTTTGTCGGATTTGGATTGAGAAACGAAGTTTCCAACGAGCAGATTTGGCAATGGCAAGTGGTAAGAAGAAAAACATTCAGCACAATGCTGTCGTATGATCTACATATAAAAAAAGAGTTTGTCCAAACCTATAAAGGTATAATAAATATATATTTTTTATAATTAATTTATATAAAAAATAATAAAAGTTAATTTATATTTTAATATCATTGTCACATAAATAGTTTTAATTAATCAATTAATTTAACTCAAATCAACTTTTATCATTTTTTATATAAATTAATTATAAAATGATATATTTATTATATCTTTGATATGTTCCTTTAAGATATAAGATAGAAAAATCCATAAAAAGTTGTTAAAAAAACTAAATTGTGCAAAACTTTATACTGTAATATAATATAAGCGAAATCTTTTGATATTAAGATATATAAATGTATTGAATTGTAAAATAAAATATTTTTATTAATGTATAATTTTTTTGTAAAATTATTTAAATACACTTTATAAAAGATAAAATTTTATTGTGTGTTAATTTTTTAAAAGTATTTAAGCACTTTTATAATTATTCTTGACATTTTAAGCACTTTTATAATTATTCTTGACATTTTAATTAAAAAAAAAAAACTGATTTTCTATTATCATAACCTTTTTACCCATTTTTGTTTATTCATTGGATAGATTCTAAAAATAATTAATAATAAGAATTCAGAAAGGCCAAATGTCTAAATTTCCCCCAAAATTGTCACAATCAAGCAAATGGTCACCAAAAATAATGTTGATGCAATTTATTACTTCAATTTTTAATTTTTAAGAAATTGATTAAAATTTCACGATTGTTGTTAATTTTTGTCAAATTACTATTTTTAAAGTTTGATAAAAAAATTAACAACAACAATTAAATTTAAGTTAATTTCTTAAAACAAAATTTAAAAGTTTAAGAGGACAAATTGCGTAAATATATTTTTTTAACAATTTGTTTCAACATATTAATTATTGAAGAATATGTATTTTTTTTTTATAACAGAAGTAATCCCGAATTCCACCGAAGAACGCAGTTAAAGATACTTTTAGCCAAGAGCTTCATCATTAGTTGAGATGGCCGAGTTGGTCTAAGGCGCCAGATTAAGGTTCTGGTCCGAAAGGGCGTGGGTTCAAATCCCACTCTCAACAACAGACATACGGTTTTGGTTCTTCAGAGGAGACTGTACTTTTCTTTTTGATTCATCCAATTATTCATTGTCTGCCTTACTCTGTAATGGCCTCAATGCGGATGATAGGCAAGTAACATTTCTCCTCCCATATTCATTCCCTTTTTTAACTTTTCTGAACTGCGGTCCCTAACAAACTAACAATCTCCCTTCATTTTTGGTCTATCTTGAAACAGATATAGCAGTTAATTTCACCGGTAAGTCATTCAGGCATTTCGTCAAACACATGGTGCTCTTCTTCTAACTATCTTTATATTTCTTCACCTCATTCTCCTTGCTTCCGCTTTTCACACAAGTACCCAAATTTGGAAACAGATGGCATGTTTAAAGGCATCTACAATGGAAAGCAGTATCACGTCTCTGATATCGCAACCGTTTTGAGCCGGGCTTGGACTGCTGGCGTTGATCGAATCATCGTCAGTTTGTTTCACTACCCTTTTGTTATATTCAGTCTATATTCTCTCTGCGTTTGTATTTCGAACTCTGCTTTAGTGTTATATATACTATTTAAATCTCAAACAATGGCAGAGATTTTACTAACCATAAGAACTCAAAGAATTATGTCATTTTCTTTTTGGAAGCTGTAGAGATAGGATAAAGATAATTATGTGCCATAAATTAATTAGTATGTTGGGTATGTTCTGCACCATATGAAAGTTCAAAGCTTGAGTTGGGTGCATTTTTTAGGATTCATGTTGGTTAACATTTTAGGATAACTGGGCTTTTTCTTTAACTTGGTATAATTTGATTCTAGTCAAATTTTTTCATTTTGGTTTTATTTTTCTGTAAATCTATAACTGCTTTTGTGTTTGTGATAACAGGTGACTGGTGGGTCCCTTGAAGAATCAAAAGAAGCCCTTGCCATTGCAGAAACTGATGGTAATTCATGCTTTATTTATTCTCAAGATTTATATGTTAATGCTTTATTTGTTGCCAAGATTTGCCTTACCATCTCTTTAGCTTTAAAACATGTTTTCTGGTATTATCAGTCAAATGTTTGTTCATCATCACAGGGAGGCTTTTTTGTACTGTCGGGGTGCACCCAACGAGATGCAAGGTTATGGTCATTCCCGGAAATATTGTTATTTTTGGCTGTTTTGGTGAATTCTGTTTCTAGTGAATCTGAATGCATGCTTAGCCCCCTGGTGTGGCTTGTGCTGTCTCTGAACATTCTTTCTTGCTTACTTAATCAGGAGTTTGAGGAGAATGGGGATCCGGAAAATCATTTTCAGGCTCTCTTATCATTGGCTAAGGAGGGAATTGAGAAAGGGAAGGTATGACATATTTCCTTATAATATACTTAAAATCTCTATTCTACTACTTATATCAATGAATCAATTATTACTCCAGCTGCAGTTGTCAGATTCTAAACATTTTGAATAGATTCATCTAGATATCTGAATTTTCAGTTGTTAATTATTAGCTGTGAAAAAAGTGTTTGTTAGACAAGTAAAATGTTTACTTTCTGAAACATACAAAATCCTTCTTGTTTGTTCTATTTTTCATTTTCAATGCCTAAACTCTGTATAACATCTCATGCTATTGATATCTCTGCTTGAATAAATAAGTAATTTTTTATCAATATATACACATCAAATGTGTTTTAGTTATTGAATAAGATTCCCTGCTGATTAGGAAAAAAAAAAAATTGAATAATATTCCCATCTTGCATCAGGCTTATATGTTCTTTTTAGTCTTAATAATATTAAGTTTAACTTTGACATGAATTTAGGTGGTAGCAATTGGTGAATGTGGACTGGATTATGACAGGCTTCACTTTTGCCCATCAGAAATTCAAAAGAAGTAAGAGGTTGCCAATAGAATTAATTCTTGATTATTGGCCTGTTGTTCTCTTCAACTCAAATGATTTGTTACATGCATCGCTTGTCCATATAAAACCAGGTATTTTGAGAAGCAATTTGAATTAGCATTTGCTACAAAGCTTCCCATGTTTTTGCATATGCGTGCAGCTGCTGAAGATTTCTGTGAAATTATGGAACGAAATATCGACAAGTGAGATTTCTGAAACCATACATCCTAATAGCTGTTGTGCAGGCTAAAGGGTGTCAGTTGTTTTATTGTTTTATTTTAAATTTTTACTGGACTATTTGTCGATACCCCCTTTTGGCCCTTTGTATTGCATATATTAATGATGTGATCTTCCTTCTATGATATTATCTATGAAAATGATATAAAGTTACATTCATGCTGATTGCTTTACCATGAACAGGTTTTCAATAATTATGAGACCTTGTTTAATATTTCATATTTGTCTAAATCAAGGGAAATTATGATTGCAAAACTGCAGAAGAATCAAGTTATCTTTGATCATGGATTTGGATTTCTTATTCTTTTAAACTATTAATAAAAGAAGTTGTTTCTATAAATACGATTTTTTAACTCCATTATATATGTAAATGTATGTATATTCCTTTTATGTTAATCTGTAGATCGGTTGATGGATTCTTAAAATTTGTTAGATATTTTTTCCAGGTTCATCTCTGCTGACTTGTTTTTCTTATTTTATTAGGTTTAGTGCTGGGGTCACTCATTCATTCACTGGTAGTGCAGAAGATCTTGATAAGCTTCTTTCATTCCGTAATATATATATAGGTGATAATTCAACTTAGACACTATATCGTTGTCCAAACATGCTTTGTGTAATGCATTCAGTAAGATTGCATCTACCACTGACTGGCTATGCCTTAATCTGAAACCCTCAAAATTGATAGTTTGTAGATAAACTTCCGAGGACTTTATGAGTTTTTCCCTTGGTTCAACAAGATGCATGAAATATGTCTTTTGGATTCCTTTGAAGTTCTTTCTTGTTATAGATTAACTATTTATTAAGGTGCAAGCATACCCTAATAAGTAATATACATTTTTAACAGGTGTAAATGGTTGCTCTCTCAAGACAGCAGAAAATCTTGACGTCGTGAGAGATATACCTATTGAAAGAATGATGATTGAGACAGATTCTCCATATTGTGAAATCAAGAACACTCATGCTGGGATCAATTTTGTGAAATCTGTGTGGCCTTCTAAGAAGAAAGAGAAGTATGATCAAGAATGCATTGTCAAAGGTCGTAATGAACCTTGTTTGGTTCGGTGAGTGGAGATGCCTTTTAGTCATGTATCCCAACTTTCATACTGTCTTTCTACATTTCTTTAAAAATGAATGGATTTTTTATTTTTTTGGAAGTTTAATAACAGAAATTATGTTAGGCTGTTCTATAGTCTTTGTTTAACATTATCTTCTGCAAAATGAAATTTTCCTTGTAATGCAGATAGCTCACATATGAATATTCTCTTTCAGTTTCTCTATTGTTGAGACAACCTTACTGCTATACACTTCATCACTTATTTATTATAGAGAATTTCCTTCCAGTCTTAAGCTGTTTCTCTCTTGATTGATACATCTGACTTTATTCAACATTATGTGATCTGCAGGCAAGTTCTTGAGGTGATAGCTGGATGTAAAGGAATCAGTGATCTGGATCAATTGAGTGGGACATTGTACCAAAACACCTGCAGGTAAGTTCTTAACGACTCTAGGCTCTGTTTAGTATGATTTGGGTTTTTGGTTTTTGGCATTTATTTTTTATATTTTTATTAACTAATACTATATTTAAATTAAATTTAATAAATTCTAATTTTTATAATAAATTTTAATTTCTAACTATACTAATAGTTTCTAAATATATAAAAATTGAAAACCAAAAACAAAAGACCAAAACCATACTAAATGGAAAGCAATTCACTAGTTCAGCGATAGGTGATCTGGGCACTAAAACTTGTTCACCAAGTTAGGAGAATTGTCTGGAGGTGCTCATATTAGATCTGATTAGCCGAGTCATGGTAGTGCATCCTCAGCTGCAAGGCAATGCATTCTTTTTTGCCATCGGAATGCTTAGATTAATAAATTAAATAAATGAGCAATATTATTTTCAAGATTTTTTGTTCTGCCGCTTCATAAAGCCATTCTGCTGTGCAGGGTTTTCTTTCCTCATGACTTGGATTCTGCAGCAGATGCTCTTCTTGCTGGTCGTCAGGACACTCTATGAACAACCGTTAACCCATCTCAACAAAATTGTTTCATCTATACTTACTGTTTGAAACAAGGATGCCACAAGTTTCCCATCTAGAAGTGATTTAAAAAGGGAATGGAATCCTTTTCTTTGGTTCTCCTTGTCTTTGTTCTTTACTGCTTTTCTTTTTGGCATAAAATTTGCAGAGCAGAATCTGTTATTGTTATAAATGTTGGAACAACTTTGGATATGAAAAATTACTTATGGTCTAAGGTCAAGGCACGCCATCAGCCTTAGTTCACATGGACTCACAGTCAAAATCAGAAAAAAGAAAAGAAAAGAAAAGAAAAAAAACGAAAATATAGATGAAATTCACACCCAAGAGCTTATTGCACACAACCACATCAGACGGTACTTGTTCAAAAAGACAAAAATCCAGAACATAGAGTAGCTATCATACTTTAGGTACAGTCTCTAAAATTACTAGTAGGATCACAGAGGAAGCACCCGCTTGATAGTCTAACGTGTTTTCTCTGTACAGTGCATTAAGGGTACGGCATCTACCAGCCACCCCAAGACAGGCAGGGGTGGCATAGAAATGCATAGAACATAACACAGTTGAGCCAAGGATGATTTGCCTAAACTTAGCCAAGGATGATTTGCCTAAACCTACCGGATAGAAGGAAGAGGTGCATTAAGGTTTAAGCATCTTCCAAACCCACAAAACTGCAGGGTTGGTAAGAATGCAAAGACTTAAATGCACAACAGCCAAGAATGATTTGCCTAAAGCAGCCAAATGGTAGCCGGACAATCCTGGGACAGAAGCCAATCGCAACTCCATTTGGCTGCGCCAGGGATGGGCTATGGTGCAAGGTACTTGCGCTTGCACCAAACCCACCAACACCCCTGGTATCAGACTTTTAGGATGCAGCAGCCATCTGCTGCTGCAACCCACTTGTCTGGAAAGCGGCCCACATGGTTCACTGGGAAACGCTCAAGCTCTCCCTCGACATACATACTAGTCACTTCTGATCCGGATAGATTTGACCCATTTCCATTTGCTTCCCTTGATGCTTTCAGTGGCCTGTTCTGTGCTTGCAGCACTTCAGAATATGATGAAACAGTTTGCTGGGATACTTCTTGATCACCAGCCTTATTCTCCTTGGTATCACCTTTTTCATTGTCTGAATTTTTTGTGTTCAAGAAACGGCCACCACATCCCCTTGGTCGGCGCATTGCGTGTAGATGGCGTGAGTGGTGCATATATGGCTGAGAAAGAAGCAGAACCTTAACCATATCAGCTAATTTGGTCTAAAGTTTTCAAGAGAAAAAAGTTTCACAAAATTGGGAAATGCTACAAATTTGGATGAATAACTATTATGGTTATGTACTTTCTGGGGGAGATATCAAGGGTTCCTCGTCTAGAAAAAATGTATCATGGTTAATTCAGGAGAAATTTACATCAAGGTGAGTGAACTCTGTCACCATGTATAATCAGTTAATCAGAGTCCAATGGCCATTAATCTAAACAGAAGACCAAGCAACAAAGGAGAAAGTTTTGAAATGAAAAAAAAAAAGGAAAAAAGAAAAAAAAAAGAAATACCTTCCAATGGGTTCCTGCAACAGCTTAACCCCACAACATCAAAATGGTAGATAAAGAAACCAACAGAAATTGTTGTACCTTACGAGTTCTGGAGCCTTTATTCTCACGTTCAGCTTTTGCACGGGATTGCCTCCGCCTGATGATTCCATGATACTGCTTAGCATTCACAAATATAGGTCCTTCATCTGTTGTCAAGTTCAGTGGCAGCATGATGCGACCCTATTTTATTATGAATGAATTAGTATATGGTTAAGGACAAGATGCTACCAGTAGCAAACTATAAACTCTTTACTACAAATACCACAAAAGATAGAATTATTTGAAAGTTGGAAGATGACACTGAAACAAAACAGCTTAATTTTTTATATGCATTGTCATCAGTTTGACAATGTCATACATAATGTACCATTAGCGAAGTGATTTTTTGCCGATTTGTTCTTTTCCTTTGTGCAAAAACTATTTATCCCTCACTGCTATGTTTCTACTCATCCAAAACCCCTTACCATCCCTCCTCTAGTCAGCCTCTTTTCTTCCCCATTTCCCCTCTTTCCCGTTGAATTATCCTCCCCAAGTTTCATTCTTTGGTGGTTTATAATGCATTTCTCTTCTCCACACTATGAGAAACTGTCATACATTTGTTATATCGTTGTCCACACTCATGAATTACCAAGTCTAAAACCTGTTATCGTCCCTTCTATACATTTTACAAGATACATTAAGTTCAAAGGATTGTATAGGGCAGATTGTCCTAAAATTTTTTTGTATTTTTGGAAGACTTGTCTAAAAACCTACTTTCTAATTAATATTTTCAAAAACTAACTATTAGATTTAAAGTTTTATTCATAAGATCATGCATGTTAATTTTTATATTAATCTAATACTTATAATCCTTTGATTAAAGAAATTAACTCTATTTAGTAACATATATTTAATAGTGTTAAATTTCTTATAATCAATAAAATAGTTTGGCTTATTAAAATAATTTGAAAATTGATATGCATATCTATATGAATTAAACTTTCAATTCAACAGTTAATTTTTAAAAATATTAATTAAAAGATGACTTTTACACATATCCTCCAAAAAAATTTAGAATGACGACATGCAAAATGCTTTTCTCGTAAGTTCATCACATATCAACTTTGTCAATGATTTGGACCTATCTCAACCATAAAGAATTAAAACTTAAGACAACTCAAGCATGGGAATGGAAAATGTTGAGCTGAGAAGTAATCAATTATCATCAAATATAGTTAAGCGACCTATATTTTATAGTCCGGACTATATATTAAAAGTGTAATCTGCCCTATAAATTTATTAAAATATTTTTAATGAAATAACATAAAAAATAATTTTATTAAAATATTTTAATAAATTCATAAAGTGAATTGCGCTTTTAATATACCCTCTAACTTGTAAAACACTTTTTTTGCATCGTTAAACTATAGTAAGA